GGACAATACTGCCCTATATACTCAGAGATGGCCACTCAGGTGCAGAGGCCACTTTAGATAACAGATATATGGTGTCATATGTTTGCCTTTGTAAGAGCCTGAAGCAGCAACCCAAACTGGTGTTTTCCAATTATGTAAGATAGATTTTTTTTCTAATTCTCAACTAATATTGACCATGAAGGCCCACCAAGTTTGGGAAGGCTGATGTAGATTTTTAATTGGTTTTATTCATACCAAAGTTTCTAACATGACTCTAAAGGTGCTTTCACAAGAAATTTAAATGTGTTTCATCCACTATCTGAGGTGATTCCATCAGGTCCAAAAATTTAGTTTATATTCAGTTCAAAATAAGTTTTCCTCCATCCTCTGGTCTTGCATTACATTCACACCAATCAGTTGAGAAGGAAGAGAAAAGGCATGATCACTCAGAGTGTTCTGCAAAAACCAATTTTCTGGGATTTGGGAACTATGCAAAGACACAGCCCTATAAGAGATCTGTACCAGGGTTATGGCTGCTTTTCCAAATCCAAATAATGATCATGAAATGCCTGAGATTCCCTTAAAAACATTACATGCAATTAATACTTTGAAACCCAGGATGAAACTGTCTACCAATTCTGTATGGACAACCCTGGCATCACTGTAAAGCTTTGACCACGAAGCAAGGGTCACTCTGGCGATTACAAACTTGTTTTATAAAAATGTTGATAAACCAGTCCAGAGCTCATTCTTTTATAAGCAAGAGTAAGAGAGTCATCTAAGGCAATTGATTTGGGGCAGCATTATGCAGTTAGTCAGTTCAGATCCTTTGATACTGTGACTGTAATCTAAAGCGATCAATCTGGAAGTAAGCATTATTAAGGTCAGTGGGGCTTATTCCCAGACAGATGTGTATCAGATTGCTCCTGAAGTATTTGCCTGCATGCAAAGATTTTTGATGCAGCCCCAGCATCCAGATTGGTAGAAATCTTTGCTGTTGTAAAAGTTTCATTCTGTCAGTGTTACAAGACTCTTCTTCACTTTCCCCCCTGCAAGAATGACCTGGCTTCAGGGATGCAACTATGGCCCTTGTGCTACAGCAGCTGGGACCTGAGAAGGACTCTTCCGGATCCAAGGAGGAAGAGCAGAATCAGAATCCTGACCTGAGCAGGTTGCAAAGAGAGGGGATGCCGTTTCTGAGCACTCCCCCAGGTAACAACAAAGGGAAAAAAGCCTTTTTTCTGTAGCCTACAAGGAAAAAAGTTGTTCTTTTTTACCTGTAAATCGTCAAAGAGAGAGAGAGAGAGTTGAACGCCCCTATCATTTCCCTCCACTGCTAGCTAGCTTTCTAGCTGCAGGAAGATACCTTGGCGGAATCTTCAGCAGTGGCAGAACAGGCGCGTGCAGACAGAGGGTCCTGCAACCTGGAGCACGCTATCCTGTCCAGCTGTTCATTTGCCGGCGAGGACGCAGCAGCAGCCGCCCACCCCCAGCCCGCTTTTACCTTTTCAGCTGCAGCAGGTGTATCTCGTCCCAGCTCTGCTGCCCGCCCTTGGTCTGGATAAGGGTTCGTAGGCTGCAACTCAGCCTCTTCCACAGAGCGCCCAAGCGGCCCTTCGCATCAGGCAGGGGCACCCCCATGGCGCTCCTTTCTCTCGCTTCTTCCGCCCTCCTGGTTGGCAGCGCGACTGAAGCAGCAGCAGCAGCAGCAGCAGCCGCCCCCCGCACAGCAACCTGGCGCCAGAGTGTCTTGCGTTGCCCACTCGCTCAGGCTAATGGCGCTGCCCTGAGCCGCGACGCCGACTTTCCCGGGAAAAGGAGGAAAGAGCGGCGTGTGCGCAAAAGAGCGGGCTTATCCCGCGCGCCCGCTCCCCTCGCCAGCCCTTCGCGCCTGTCCCCTCTGGGCGTCAAGATTGTCCGCCAGAGTCACGCTTGTCGCCGGGATCCCGGCCGAGGCAAATATAGGGACAGGCGCTGGAGAAGGCGGGGCAAAGCGTGACGTGCAGTTTCCCCCCTCCTTCCCCAGAGTGGCCCTGGGTCGGAGAGTTCCTCCGGTCGGTCGGCTGTGCCTGCTGGGGCCCGCGAGTGTCGGAGAGGTTGCCTGGCTGCCTCCTCCCAGCCCCTGGAGGAGAACCTGTACCCACGGCCATGAAGAACTTTCTCAACTGCTCGATCAGAAGATGGGGACAAATTGCAGAATTGGCCTGAGACCTTCATCCAACTGGTTCCAGAGTGGAGGGCTAGGCTGGAATGAGCTGCAAAAATCCCAAGGACTACTATAGGTCCCTGCATCTTTTGGGGCTAGGAATTTTAGTAGCCCAGATACAGGACTACCTATAGGTCCCGACTTAGGTGACCTTCAGCTCTGGCACCTCGCTCCTCTGGGGGCTCAATCCTCCTCATCAATCTTTCTGGAAGACCCCACCCAAAAAGGGATGGGGCTAGCAAAGGAAGAGGGAAAGACAACTTCTTGCAGGAAGAACCCACCTTGAAAAATGGGAGCCAAATTCCATATGCAACAGCAAAATTGGTGGCTCCTTCCAAGAGCAACCGCTACTTCTGCCCAGTAAGATGCCTACACCTTTTCCCTTCCCCAAACTATTAGGCAGAGCAAATATAATCCTCCAAAGAATATTACAATGATGGTAAACCAGTTGACCAGTTAGGGACAACTTCTGTTTCCTCTTTTTAGTTATTCTCCTGCCTTCTCCCTGTAAGGATGTAAGGGCTGGGTGGTTGACCCCTTCTGTCCGCTTCTAATTTTTATTGAAGGATTTTTTTTACAAAATTAAAAGCTATAGAAAAATTAGAAAAAGAGTATAGAAAAGTGAAAAAAGACAGAAAAGAGATAGAAAAGAGATAGAAGAAAAAGTGAAGATCAAGAAAAAAGAAAGGAAAAAAGAAATATTTAGAGAAGCAACTTCCAATCTTTGCAGCAATTACAAACATAGTTAATACTGTTTCTGCCTTCCCAAATGACATAACACCCTTCAGTCCACTTCTCAAAGAGAGGACCGGTGAAGGGGTCAGAGGCAGCACTGGCTGCTCCTTGCAATCTTCCTGTTTTTGCCTAGTTATTGTTTCTTCATTTCTATTCCTCCTTTTCAAGTTTGCACTGTACAATCTTATTTTCTCCAGATGGCTGAAGTAGCAAAGGGAACAGACACAGGCAGCTATGAGCCACTGTCATAATAGTTTACGATCTCTGTAATCTATGAATGGTAATAAAATGTTTGCTTTCTTGCAGTTACTTCTTGAGCCTGGCTCTGGGCTGCCTTGGAAACTTTAATTTCTAATAATGGGTCTGTGGTTAGAAGTTTAGAAACTTGCTAGGGAAGTAAGCACATTGCACATGCTTATGTCCTGAGGGTATGCCTGTACACTGTGTGAACCTCTTAGTTGGTGGGATGGGTGCAATTTACGTTGGCTTAAAAGGTGGTCTATAGATTAGAAATCTTAGCTTGCGTGGAATACTGTGTGAGATAAACCTGAACTTTAACTGAGTTTGTGGCATACTGGTTGACATCTGACAAAAGTGACTGCGTGGTTACAACCAAGGGTGGTAATATAGTCTATACTTTCCCTGTCACATTAGAAAACAGGTGAAAGCTTTGACTGGCCAAAGCCATGATGAGTAGCAAAAGTTGGTATGTGGCCCTATCTGATGATGACCTATCTGATGATGATATTGAAGAAATAAAAGAAGAAGAATAAATGGTAACAAGAACAAATTAAATTAAATTGAAGGAAAGAAGGAAAAATAGATACGTTGAACATTTGTGAATGGAAGAGAAAAGGAAAGAATGTAATAGAACTGAAGGAAGGTGGTCTGAATGCATAGACTGGAGATTTTTAATTAGATTTTTATACCATTACAATTATGTGACTGTTGGTAGTATAATAAAAGAACAATCAGTAATCAATATATTTAATAAAACAATTCAACAAAAAAATAAAGTAAAACAAAGCCATATATAAAACAGCAATGGCATTTTTCAACTTGTTAAGCCCTCCAGATTTTAACTTAATTTGGGAATGCTAACAAGGTTGGGGTAAATCTAATTTCCCAGGGGAGATATTCCATCATGGAAGGGCCATTACAGAGAAAATCTCCTCCTGGCTTGTAATGGGGGATTACAAGCCACTTCACCTATATGAATGGAAGTAAAGGTATAAATGTAATTATGAATTAAAGGACTAAGGTGCATGTAAGAAAGTATGAACTGCTGTCTTTTAGAATGTTGTGCATTCCAGTAGGCTTTTATAGGTTGGTAATAGTTGCTTTCTATGATCCCATAAATGGTTAATCCTCATATTCTACTAATCACGGCATAAAGATGTTTCACCAACTGTTTTTAGAGGACTTGTCCTCATGGCATCACCTTTCTCCCTTCCCAGTCCACCAGCAGCCTAAATTCATCTTCAGCTGTTCTAGCATTAAAGAAGTGTTTTGCTGCTTCTCCCAGTACAAGCTTTGCCCTACCTACAACATCTCATTGGTAATGTTGGGAATGATCCTGTCAATGACCAGGATCTGCATGGTTCCTATTGGCCACTTAAGATTGCAGTGGGCATGCTCCCTCCCCTGTGGTCATTGGGCTCTGGCCTCCATGACTATTTTGACTTGGACTCCAGGAAAAACCAGACATCTGGTTTATCCAAAGGGATCTGTCTACTTAATGCTTGACTGATATTTTGCAAAATGCTGTTCAGGCATTATGCAGGCTTCATAGGTGCATGGGCGTAATCCTTTAATTGAAGCACCTAAACCTAATTGTAAACACAAGTGCAGCTGTCTTTTGAAAGGATGCTAAAAAGAAAGAAAAGAAAAGAAAAG